AAAATTTTAACCTTTTTAAAGAGATATCAGTTTTAGAAATTTTATCTTCAGATTTTGTACTATAGCACATTTCTAATAGGTATAACGAATTACATGTCTTTTATTTGAATTCAAATTTATTTTAATGACTTTATTTACTAAAAAGATTTAATTTTTTTTTTAAAAAAAAGTTGTTATATGGATTAGAATGATTGTTTTGAATTCTTAGAATTTTGTGCATTTGCAATGTACCTAAGTTAGTAGAGAGCTTGGTTGCAATTTTCGGGGGTTGGCGAGCGTTAGCGAGCAGGGGGCGCAGCCCACTAGTAAACAATAAAATAATTTTTTTGTCGATTAATAATAAAGGTAAATAAAATAAGGTGACTTAATAAAGATATAATAAAGTATAAGGCTTATAATAAAATAAGGTAAGCTTTATAAAATAAGGTGAAATAATTTTTACTAGGGTCAGCTTTTAGTTTTATTTCATACATAAATTTATTTTCATCGTTTTTAATAGCATTAAGTCACGAACTTAATCGTGCTAAAGCATGGTTCGAAAATGATTTATTTGATTTTTATAATGATTTAATTTTTTTTTTTGCTTAAAGTTTAATATATTTCAAAATTTTTCATTCTTGTCAATTTCTAAAGGCTCCTCTTAAAAATTAGCAATAGATGAGACATCACATTTGCACTGTATATAGAGTGTAATAAAGTTCAATAACAGGTCTTAGAATTCTTGTCTGAACTTTGGTAAAAGAAGCATAGATATTAAGGGTTGGAAATTATTGTTTAAGCAAAACGAAATGCAAAAACATTAATAAAATCTGCAGTGTAAAAAATGTTAGATCAATTTGCGGTAAAAAAGAAAGCTGGTACGTAATCTGCAAAATTCTATTTTACCATAAAATGTATTTTTTAAGCATAAAATGAACATAAAATTCATCATTTAATTGCAAGGATTCTGAAATTTTGCATAAATACTACTGTAAATATTACGGTAAATCAGATTCTTTGTTCTGTAAGTAACTACGGTAAATCAGAATCTTTGTTCTGTAAAAATTTACAGTAAAAATGGCTCTTATGGTAAAAAGTACCAGCACCCAAAGTGCCGTATTTTCGCTTTAATTTGATAAGGAATTTTTTATAGTGTGTCGAAGAGAAGGAAAACATCAAAACCTGTTTGATTGCCTGAAGAAATGGAAAAGAGTTGAAAGGTACTTATTCGACGCACCTCCAAATTTTATCAGGCGACTATAGTGTTTTTGATGTTTCTCATCAAGCCTTCCTAATTGGTCATTCCATAGATTTTGTTTCTTCGCAGTTTAATAAGTGGCTTATTATCAAATGCATATATTTTCAAGTTTTAAAAGGAGTTTAAAAATATATATTAAGGTTGATCGATGCGAAATACCGAAATACTCCTTATTAGGCTATGTTTGTAATTTAAAAATATAAATATATTTTTCATATCTCCTTAATTAAAAAAATGGAACTTAAATGGATATTAATAAATGAAAAATATTAATCAACATTATTGAATGCGCATATTTTGCATCATTTTTCATGAATAAATCCTCTACTAGTTATGCTATAATTTTCATCAGCATAAATCTCTATAATTTTTGAATTTCTATTTTTTTATTTTGTCTGGGTCACAATTTTTTGCGTATAATGAATATTGTTATTAAAGTCCCAAAAAAATGAAGATCGTGTTTTGCCTATTACTTTTCATTTATAATAAGCACACTTTAAATACAGCTTGAGGATTTTTAAATTTTCGCTTCCACTAAACCAGGGATGGGCAAACTTTTTTAGTCATGGGCCAAAAAATCAAAATAAAAAAAATAAAAAAGGTTTACTGTGCTAGGTAAAAACTTAATAAAAAAAACGATATACAAGTTTTAATTTAAATATTTAAGGAAATGAATGAAATTGCGATGTCATTTTTAAAAGTTGAAGTTCTAAGCGAGATGTAGTACTTATTTTAAGGACGAGGTTTAAAATTTGTCTGTTAGTCTACTTCTGAAATGATTTCTTCTAAGGTTCATTGTTGAAAACACTTGTTCACATATATAAGATGAAGCAAACATAGCACTGATTTTCTGGGCATGAGATATTAGATTTGGAATTCTAGCTTTTGGTAATGATTTGTAAAACTCAAATTTTGGCCTATTTAGAAACAACTGCTTTAGATGATTGTTAGATTGCAACTCAATTAATTTAAGCTGCAAATCCCACCTCAATGTTTCACAATTTAAGTTGAAAGGCATGGTAAAAATGTCTAATTATCTTTGAATGACACTGAAATCTTGAAATCTGAGTTCAAACTCAAAATTGAGTTTTTTTCAAGTCATCTTCATGAATCTCAAGTTTTTTCCTTATTCCTCACGAATCGGCAAGTTAAAATTCTATCCGAGGGCCGGATAAAACCTTTCGGTGGGCCACAGCTGGCCCGCGGGCCGTAGTTCGCCTATCCCTGCACTAAAGCATTAAAGTAACAGTCAGTACGGTGGATCTAAACAATATAGCAAAACTTCGAAATTTCTCCTAAATTTAGAGAAATATACTTTTATAGAAGAATAATATATCTAAAAATGAATATCAATTCTTAGGATTAAAAAAAAATGCATTTTATAAATTCATTACGGCTTTTCAAAGTTACTATACTTAATTTAAGCTTTTTTTTTTAGTTTTTTTTATTTATTCAAGTTTGTTCTAAATTTTACACTGAAAACTAATAATAAATTTACTCCAAAATATAAATTTTGAAAAAATAATATGCATTTTTTACCATTAAAAAAAAACACTATTCATAAAAATCACCCTTGTAGAATTTTGAAGTTCATTTCGGACATTGCGGCACGTACCTGCTCAAATTAAAATGAGAAATAAAGAACCGACTCATAAAAAATTGCTTTTTCTTTCTCCTAGTTAAGAACAATTTCATAAAACACAATAAAACTACTTAAAAGAATACCACATTGTATTGCATCAGTCCGTATCTATTGCATCCTAAGATACATTTTGGGCGTTGACAAACGTGGACATTGCCCAATCTAGAGGACAATTTTTGTCTCCAAATCGCGTGTTCCAAATCTTTCCACCATCTTATTTAAAACCCACTTACCGTGTCAGATGTTGACGAAAAGGTGTTTCCGAGGGGAAAGTAACAACACTCTCTTTACATCCTTGCCGCGATTCAGGTGAAAAANCAAATGTTATATTTGCACACTTGAAAGAGTCTTTGAAGATACACGTTGAAATAAGACAAAAAACAAACAATAAACAAACAATAAACAAAAACATTTTTTTTTTCAGTTTAAATGTTAAATGTTTAATTTAGATAAATGTATTGAATACAAGTGCAATTAGAAGTAATGAATTAATATTTAATAAAGAAAAAAAATCATTAATTTGACGAATTATTTTGGAGCTTAACCATAGCGAGGGCAAAAATGAAATCATAAAAAGATTTTTTTAGTCGATTAATATGAAAAGTAAATAAAATAAAGCTTCTTAATAAGGATCTAATAAAGTATAAGGCTCATGATAAAATAAGGTAAGCTTTATAAAATAAGGAGAAATGTTCACTAATAGGGTCAGCTTTCAGTTTCATTTCATATATAAATTGATTTTAATTGTTCTTAATAACATTAAATCACGAAGTTAATGATCCTAAAGCATGATTAACTTCGATAAGGATTCATTAGATTTTTATAATGAGTGTACTTCACCTGCATAAAGTATAAGATATTTCGCAATTTTTCATTCTTGCCAATTTCTAAAGGTTCCTCTTTAAAATTAGCAATAGATGAGAAGAAGATTTCACAGACTGTGTGTAGAGTGTTATGAAGTTCACTGAAATATTTTTGAATACTTTGGTAAAAGAAGCATAGATATTAAAGGTTGAAAATTATTGTTTAAGCAAAAAGAAATACAAAAACGCTAATAAAATCTGCAGTGTAAAAATTGTTGGATCAATTTGTGGTAAAAAAGGAAGCTGGCACCTTTTGTTAAGATAATCCGTAAAATCCATTTTTACCACAAACTTGTGCTGTAATTTAGTTATTTAACTACACTGATTCAGTGATTTTATAGTAAATACTGCTGTAAAAATTGCAGTAAATCAGATTCTTCGTTTTGTAAAATTTTACAGTAAAAATGGTTTTATGGGGAAAAATATCGGCACCCAAAATGCCTGTATTTTCACTTTAATTTGATAAGGAATTTTTTTCAGTTTGTCGATTCCTCGATGAGAAAAAGGATGTAAGCATTAAAACCTGTTTGATTGCCGGAAGAAATGGAAAAGAGTTGAAAGGCACTTATTCGGTGCACATCCGAGTTTTATCAGACAATTATAGTAGTTTTGATGTTTTTCATCAAGTCTTTCGAACTTGTCATTCTACAGATTTTGTAAGTGATTTTGTTTTTTCCAAGTTTAAAATGTGGCCTTTTGTCAAATGCGTATATTTCTTATACTTAATATTTTACGGCTTTTATTACGGCTTTTCAAAGTTACTATACTTAATTTAAGCTTTTTTTTAGTTTTCTTTAATTATTTAAGTTTGTTCTAAATTTTAAACTAAAAACTAATAATAAATTTGCACAAAAATGTACATTTTAAAAATATAATACTCATTTTTTACCATTAAAAAAAAGTACTATTCATAAAAATCACCCTTGTAGAATCTGAAGTTCATTTCGAACATTGCGGCACGTACCAGCTCAAATTAAAATGAGAAATAAGAACCGACTCATAAAAAATTGCTTTTTCTTTCTCCTTAGTTAAGTACAATTTCACAAAACACAATAAAACTACTTAAAAGAATACCACATTGTATTGCATCAGTCCATATCTATTGCATCCCGAGATACATTTTGGGCGTTGACAAAAGTGGACATTGCCCAATCTAGAGGATAATTTTTGTCTCCAAATCGCGTGTTCCAAATCTTTCCACCATCTTATTTAAAACCCACTTACCGTGTCAGATGTTGACGAAAAGGTGTTTCCGAGGGGAAAGTAACAACACTCTCTTTACATCCTTGCCGCGATTCAGCTGAAAACGACTTTTTTACCGCCAGATTTACAAAAAAAAGGACTGTTGCCAATTCAATTTAGTAAAATAAATAATTAAAATATAACTAGTCAATATGAAGAATTTTATACTTCTAATTTTTGCAGGTATGTATTTCGATTTTATTTTATTACTGTAATATGTCAATTCAATAATGTCTTTAAATGTTATTAATTTTAATGCAACTGATGTTTTTTTTAAATAATGAAGTCATAAATAAAATAATAGTTTTTACGTTTTTGTAATGATATATAACAATAATCTTAACAGAAAAAAGTAAAAATATGTGTCAATAGTTTTTTTTAACTAGTAAAAGAAACATTGAGTGTAAGGAAACATTAAATTTAAAAATTAATTAAAAATGTAAATATTAATTATCACAGATTTCCTTTTCCTAATCTAGGTTATAAGTGCAATACTTTACTACAGAATTTGATATCCCTTTTTATAAAAGTAATAAATAATAATACATTTAATAATTAATCAAATTAAAAATAAAATTAATTAAGATAATAATTAATAATAATGAAATGATAAAATTAAGCCGCACATACTATATTTAAATAAATTTTGCTCACTTATTTTATTGACATAACACATTTTTTTCTATAAAATTGTTTTAAACTCTTAAACATTTAGGTGCAACTTACAATTCATAGAAAACTATAAAATTACTTATAATATTAGATTAAATTATATATGTATAAATATATTCATAATCAAGAGTGTTACGAGAGTTTTATTTTAATAAAAATATTAATTTTGATCATTTTAATAATTATTTTGTTCTATATATGTGTGTGCAGCATTTGAATATACATAATTTCGTTACAATCCTGAAAATTAAAACTCAAAAAATATCTATAATATTAAAGCTTACAATGATTTCTTATGATCTGTAAATTGAGAAGAAAATTGTTTTTAAAACTTAGCACGAAAGAATAAATTTGATGTAAGCCTGTTTTTCTAATAATTTTATTTATTACATTTATCATTTATTAAAATAATTTTATACTAAATATACTTCTTTGGTACAAAAACTTATTTCAAAAGCTGTATTATTTCTCAAAAAATTTTACAAGTTTACTCCAACAGAAAGAGAATAAATGGAACTATTTTTAAATTGTTTTAGAGACATAATGCAAGTTTTAAAAAATCTAGTAAAAAGTACACATTAGAACTGAACAGAGTAGACAGTGTTACAAAGAACTCATTAAGTAAAACTTTTATTCTTTATTAAGCATAATCTTATTTAATTTGTAAAAACTGTTAGCGAATAAAGTAAAATATATTAATTCACCTATTTAATTTGCAAAATAAATTACTAATCAGTGAAATAAATTATTTAAAAAACCATGAAAACTAGAAAAAGCAAATCATTTATCGAAAAATAAAATTAGTTCAAAAACGAAATCGAACCATTAATAATGATTTGAAATAAATACGTAATTCTGTTTTTACAACAGCCAATAAAGTTACAAGTTCTACAATTTCATTTTTTTTTAAGTAAAAAGAGAAAATTTATACTGTTTTGAAATAAAAATCGAATATTGCCTACTTTAATTTTTAAACATATTTAGTTCTCAAGATAATAAAAAATACTAATATTTCCAAAATTTAATCTTAAAGTAAAATTATTCGTTTAATTATCTTTACAGAATTGGTAATGGTATATTTAAGAAGTTTTATACATGTGTATTATTATATAATAAGACCACATTTGTTTAAACAAAAATATACGAAGAACAAACATTCGCCTACAAAAAAAAGTGCTTTGCTTTTTTTCCCGAATATATTACAAAATAAATAAAGCGAGTTCGAATAACAGATTATAAAATTTCCTTCTGGAACTAATTGAAAGTAATTTTTTTTTATCTAAATCTGCACTAACTGAAATCCACGTGCCTTCAGTTTCCGGCCGGAAACTTGTAAACAATACAATTTATAGAGATCTAATTTTAAATATATCTGCATGATAAATTTAATTCCAAATCTTTTCAGCTGTCATTTTATCATGTTCCGCTGCAGAATCCATGAAACTAGAAGAATTTATGGCAAACTTGGCGAAAAGTGGAAGTGAAAGTGCCAACGAAGTAAGTTAACAATACATTTAACAGCATAGAACTTTATTTTTAAAATAATTAATATATTATATTTAACCATCACAATTAAAACTCTTAGCTCTTTATTTGCAGAAAACGTTTTATTTATTAAAATTAAACAGTCATTGCTTTAGAACAGGGGTTTCCAACTTACAGGGGGCCGCAATTAAAAACACCAGTCAAATGGCGCGCAGGAAATTTATCAAAATTTTAGATAGGACTCTTTTATATTTGAAGTAACATTAAATATTACTGTCAGATTTTTCTGACAAGTTTTTCCAAGATTAAAAAGCAAAATAACAAGCATTACAAATATTGGTTGTTACGTTGAATCTTCTCTTAATCAGAAACTTAGTGACAAGATTTTTTTTCCGTTTAAATTTAATTCTGTGATAAATTAACATTTTTTTCGACTTATTAGGAACTAAACAACAAAGAAAAAAAAAATTCTCTAGCATCTAAAATTATTATTTTTTTCTTTTCCGCTCATGCGTTATTCAAATCAAGGAATTTAAATAAAACACGATATTCATTCCCTCCTTTATGAGTTTTGAAATTTGCAAATGTAAATAATTTCGTCCAAAATGAGTGGTTTCAAAAAGTAAAATGGGAGAATTTCTTCGAGAAAATTTCTGATATGCACATGCTAAATTCTATTCACAAATTACAAAAAAAAAAGAAATAAAAAAGAGCAACATGCACGATTATATTTGTATTTGAATAAATATTTTCTTGGACGCAAAACCTGAGAAATAAATTTGCCCACCAAAAAAAGCTTCGCGGGCCGCCAGTTTGTAACCACTTTTTTAGAATTTATAGATGTTTAGATAAGGTGAAGTGGGGTAATACTGAATAGCTAAGATTCGATGTCTGGTAGGAGCTTAACTGTTCGACCTAGAAACTGTCAGACTTGTACAATATATCTTTCCAATATGCAATATATCAGTCCAGTTGTACAATATNCCAAGTTCTTCGTAGGCCCCTGAATTTCGTAGGCCCTAGGCACGTGCCTAGTGTGCCTATAGGTTAATCCGGTCCTGATCAGTCCTAAAGTCATTGATTCACTACTTTTTTAAATGATTTTTTTTGTATGAAAAATCAAATCCACCGGTCTTACCCCACTTGTGGGGTAAAGCCTAGAACACATGTTTACTCTAAGGGGAATTCAGAAATGCTGGAATTTCAATGAAAAAGTAACAGGTTATTTTTATTTTATATGACATTCCTATTTTATGTGGCAATTAAGGAAAAATATGCACGTATTTTACATTTAGTCAAAGCCGTTGAAGGGGACAATTGTCCTTGGCCGCGGAACTGCATAGGACCCAACCGAAATTCTTCACAAATATGTAGTGCTTATTAATAACATTTTAAAAGAAAATTACAGAGAATTTCTTTATATCTATACAAAATCTACGTTTTTGTGCAAAGGATCTTACAAAATATGAAACAATACAAACAAAATATGAAAATAAAAATAAGGCTTTTTGTGCTTTGAAAGAGGGATCACAATACATTTTGTCTCGGGGTCCGTAAAAATTTATTAAGCCTTGGATACTGCTATTTTCTTCCTCCGTTGCACAGCAATTTTTGTGGGCTCAGCAGAAGGGGGTGCCCAGTCTTACCCCGAGATCAAAGATTATCGAAATGAAACAAAACAGTGCTACTATTGTACAAAATCCTCATCGTTTTCCGGGTATGAATCTTTAGAAAATGTATAATAAGCTGGTTTTAAAATAATTCTTATAGTTCTAATCACCAATAAATAAGGATAGCTTTAAAACAGGAAAACATTGGAATGTTGACACAGTAGAACGAACTTATCGGCACAGACGCTGTGAATGGCAGTACGCCAATATGGTATGGCCTTCTTCTTGATCAGTAAAGTGTAATTAAGAGTTTGTTCGACTTGAAGTAAAGCATATCGGAAAATTTATCTCGATATAATAAAAGCTGGTCTCTTAAACTCTAAGGAATGATAAATAGAAGGTAATGAAATTAATTTGTATATAACTTCTTTTCAGGATCAAGAATCCGCTCCATTATCTGACGACCAGTTATCTCAGTTCATGAAACGGTCTGGTCTTATTCAACCATCTGTAGACTCTCAAAATATGAACCGAGAACAAATGATAGCTTCAGCACTTCAAGCCCTGCAATCCTTGAATCCACAATCATCTCCCTTCTTATTAGCACCGCAATATTCTGCCCAAACATCTAGCGCAGCTACTGCTCAACAGCCACTTCCAAAGACTGTTCAACCAGGACAAACAGCCACAGCGTATGCTTCCCAACAAAAAGGTCTGCTTTGGGATGATGACAAGTCCGCTCAAATGCAAAGCTATCAACAACCTTCAAGGCCTTATTCTCCATCAGCCTCAGCGTCTTCCAGCTTACCAACAGTTCAATCACAGCAGCCAGTCTACTTATCGCAAGGGCAACAGCAACTTTACTCTCAATACATGCAGGCTTCAAATATTGGTTCAGACAAGACACAGACTTCCGCGGATAAGGATCCCAGCAGTTCCAAGGGTGTCCTTAAGCAGGATCGACAAGGTCCGTATGCCTATGAACACGGATACGAACCTGCTGCATACGATCATCAAGAAACGCAATATCGCAATCCAGGAGTATATAACCAAGGTGGTTATGGTGGTGGTGGTTACAGCAAACCATCAGCCGCCGTTGCTATAAAATTAGATCCTTTAGGTTTGCTGAAACTTCTGCTCTCAGGACTTCCGAAACCTTTACTAAACTTAAATGGCAAAGTATTCTTTGGAGTTGAATTAGGAAATAATTTAGGTATAGCTAAAGGTATAGGTAAGGGAGGTTATGCAGGTCAAGGAGGTTATGGCAGTTCAGGAGGTTATAATAATGGGGGTACTGTTATATCTTTAGGTTAAAACCACCCGGATACCAACTGCCAATTAATAATGATATCGAGTAAGGAATGACTTATTTTCTTAGTATGGAGATTTCCTTGATGAAATATGATAATAATTGTAATCACATTCATTATTTATTCCTCATCGCTTCATAGGATAATTTATATTCATTTAAAGTATGTCTTTTAAAAATACCTCTGGATTTAGCATCAAAAGCTTTTAAATTAAATTTATTAGATGCGCAGTGTACTTTTTAAAATCATCAAGAATAGAAGTATACTTTCGGGGAATTACACACACCAGGTGGTGGATGTGTAACGATAATTAACTATTTTGGCTATTCAGTTAATGGCCAAATCAAGTTCATTAAATTACGATAATAAACTATTTTGGCTATTTATTTAATGGCCAAATCAAGTTCATTAAATTGCGATAATAAACTATTTTGGCTATTCATTTAATGGCCAAATTAAGTTCATTAAGTTATGATGATCAAATAATAGCATAAAGAAACTTTAAACTGAATTAAAAGTTTGTAGTTTTTTTTAGTAAAATCGCCAACCTATGCAATTTTTGTAAACTTTAAAGGTTTAAGAATTCTTAAAGTAAAATTTATAAAAATTTTTATTCGAGTGTTTCATTCTTATTTCAGTTTATTAAAATGAAATTGTTCTTAAAAAAGTGTCAATAGTTAAATGTACTATTTTTAAAATAATTTGTCATGTTTTGTTACATTTTGACCCATTAATTGTTATAAAAAGTTGTTGCGTATGTTTATTTTGTAAAGCTTGTAAATAAACTTGAAATAAACTTTTTTTATAAAACAATATCTAATTTTCTGTTTCAATTTTTAGCATAAAAAATATATTTCAGTAAATTTAATAAAATATTAACCGTGATGATTTACGGTTTGTTGAAAAATTGACACAATTTAAAGGAAAATAATCACAAAATAATTATTTCTTTAAATATATTTTCTAATTTACTTTTTTCTACTACCACAGTTTATATAACAATAAAAGAAAAAATATACGTTTGACAAAAAAAAAATCGTCATAAAAATTAATTTATAATCTCTTGATATTTTTTTTAAATAATACATTTATTTATAGTTTTTGCATGTAATGTAACATATACACAAAGATTTTTTTTTTTCATTTACATTTACATTTTACCTATAATATCATACATTAAAAAATATATGGTATTAACCTCGGAGCAATAAGAAAATTATGTCACCAGTGAATATAGGGGGATTAACTGAAATGCTATGAATAATATTAACGCGTTTAACATAAGTTTGAACGCGATGAAAATAATAAAGGAAATTAATTATAAAATGTAATTTTAATAATATGGGCTAAAAATAATATCTATATTTTTTCCACAGTAAATCATACTTTCAATCACAATCACTAAAATATCAAAGAACTATAGCTCTTTAGCGCAATATAGTATACTCTAATTTTTACTACGTTGCCAAGCTGACAGGAATAAATTTTTTACGTAAAGCAGCAAAATATTGCAGTTTAAAAAAATTTTCCCTTTTTTTCCCCTTTTTTCAATATTTACTGTCAAGTTTAAGAGTAAAATCTTAAAAAAAATTTCTATCAATCAGTATAATCTTGTCTTCCGAAAAAGAAAAACTGCATTAATTTTAAGATCAGTTACTTTTGAATAAACGGCTTTTAGTTTTCTTTAAAAAAACGTGCTTTAGCGTGCACTGGCAAAAACGTGTTTTAGCGATAGTTTCTTATGAAAAAATCAAAATCTATTATATATAATTCTCTTACGTGGCTCCCAAATTTTGGCTGTATTTCTTTTCCGCCGGTGGCAACGTTTGCTTTGTTTTGAAAACACCAAAGCATTCTGCCTTTTAATGATGTGTTTCTGATCTAATATATATAATTCTCTTACGTGGCTCC